ATTAAAATGAGAGAGAAGCCAAAATAATGTATTTCACCGCAGAATTTTTATTTTTTTATTTTTTTTTTGAAAAATATAGTGGGACAAATCTTTTATTCTTCTTTTGGGCCCCCTTCAGAATTCTGAGAAAAAAGTAAGAATTCTGATAAAAAAGTCTAAATTGTGAGATTAAAGTCAGAATTCTGAGAAAAAGGCCAGAATTCTGAGAAAAGTTAGAATTCTGCGAAAAAAAGTCTAAAATTTTGAGAAAAAAAGTCAAACTTCTGAGATTAAAGTCAGAATTCTAAGAAAAAAGTCAGAATTATGAGATTGAAGTCAGAATTCTGAGAAAAAAGTCAGAATTTTTGGGAAAAAAGTCAGAATCCTGACTTTTTTTTCTCAAATTATACTGAAATAAATCAGTTGATTTAAAAAAAACCAACATTTTTTCACATTTTACATTTATCCTCTTCCGTACTATTCCGTATTTCAGCAGTGAGTTACTGCCCTATTTTTTTTTTTATTCTTCTGTTTAGAGTTGCATAAAAATAAAACCTGCGGAAACACCTGTCAGTCTGATATAGATCGTTGAAAAATGAATCACCTATGAGTTGTGGACCGTCCCACCAGCTGCGTCGCCTCTCGGTCTCCTCACCCCTACACACTCACACTCACACACAAACCAGTTGGTCACGGTGGTCCAAACAGGGACACGTCAAGAGGCTTTAGAGAAGTTTCTCTGAGAAAATGATGGGGACTCACTGAAGACATCCTACCCTCCCCTTTAAGGCAGCAGGCTGCTAAAGGAACCGAAAGGTATGTCACAGAACTATAATTTCCACTAACGTGTCCGCAGCTCTGTGTTAACGTATATTTTCGATTTTACCATCGGCTAATGGTAGCTAGCATGTAGGCTGGCTAACCTGCCCTTTAGCCATATGGAACCAATTTGACTGCAAGCCAAAATGACAAGACTTTCCTTTAATTTTGTCAAACACGAGGATGAACATCTAGAGTCTTCGTCGAAACCATTTAAGGAGCGAGTTTCTGTCATTTTCTAACGTTCTGCCGCCTGCCATTAACGTTAACGTAAGCTCTCACCGAGCGATAACAGTAAAGCTAGCTAAGCTTAGCAGACGTTCTTTTCCATTCATTTTTCTCACTGCTCCGTTTCTCCATTCAATTTATCATAAAGGGTATGTATAAAACAGAGAAACCGTGTCGCTTTCAAAGAGAAACCGTTTTCATTTTCTTTTTGTATTTCCGCCTGTTTGTTTGAGCGTGCTTTACGTGACTGGTTGTGGTTTGCAGCTTTGATTTCTAAATTTCGCATTTCTGGTTATATTTATTCATTTTTACTATGATTGCAAAGGTAGATGATCACATTAGCAAATACACACAGACTTGAATATTGATGATCTGTGTATTTTGACGTTTTTAAATGGCACAAGTTGTAGCCTGCAGCCACTGCTGACGGTGAACAACAAAACACCTGTCTGAGGATGGAAATGAAAACAGCCTGCAACTCAAAAACTGCTCTGCAGGGGATGGAATAAAATGGTTTGAATGTAATTAAGTGTCTAACAACCATTCCCTTTTACTATTAATAAAGCAGTAAAGCTAAAGTCACATATATTTAAACCAGGTACATTTATTTATAAAATTAAATTAACTACCAATTTACTTAGCTATTTGATCTGCTTTGAGAAGACCTGATAATTTGAAGGAAGTGCTATCTTCATTTTTAGTTAATACATTGATGCTTATATTAAAGCAGTAGCTGGTCATTAATTTTTTTTTTTAGTTTTCACAATAATTAGGAGAATACCCAGTGCTGCCCTTCCCTCACCCCTCCGTCACCTTTTGCTGTTCTCTGTGCATGAGTTGGTTTAAGAGCTAAAGTGGTTTATCATTTATTTTCTATCCCTTTTTTTGTTTAGACTAAGAAAACCTCAAATCTTCCTTTAAAAGCAGAGAATATATATATTTATTGCTCATAATCTGATCCATTAATTTCCTCTCTCGCTTTGTGTTTTTCCCCACCCTTTGATTGGAAGTGTTTTGTGCACCCAATGGAACAGCTGACATGTTTGTCACAAAGGCTTGGTGGGTGAGCCTATTCCGAAAATGGCTACTGGAACAGAAACCCAGCCTAACCGGCTAATATGAGCTCCCATTTTTATTCCATAAAAAGTACTGTGGCAGAGATCATACTAAAATTGTTATCACAAAAATAGTGCCTTCAGTCAAAGGCTTCTCCAGAACCAGTGCATGATAGACCACTACAGAAGATCCTTCCTAACTACTATTAATAACATCTGCAAAAACTTGTATAAAAAAACAAACAAACCCTGAGTTTCTAAAAAAGTTTAATTGTTTTTACTCAAAACTGTTATTCTCTGAGAAACTCAAACATTTCATGGAAAGGCTAGGAAATATTAGAAAACTTGTTCATGCTAGATTGGTTAACCTCTTGTTACCTTAGCAAACCTTTCATTCTTTCAGACATGTAGTAAAAGAAGTTGAAAAGCATTAGTTGTAGCTGACAAAAGCCATTGCTTTTGTCCTCATACTTTTGACTGCTTTGCCTTGTCACTCTTTGAACTTAAGGGTGTGCACCGAAGATGCCAGGTCAAACTGAAAGTGATGATAAAATAGAAGTCATGAGTCATACTGGGAGAAGGAATTTGTTTTGCTCTAGCTTTAAAGAACAAGGGTTGGAATATTCTCTTTATACAACAAATAAAAAAACACTTATGAATGAGGTTGGATTGTTCACATCAGATTTAACTAATCTCTCACTGCCTTGCAAATAACTTATTGCCATCAGCAAGGAAATTTAGTTCACTGTGGAAAAAAGCAAGGAAGCCATGATTAAGAGAAACGCTACAGATTCTTAGCAGTGAAGAATGACTCCTGTTTCTGGTGTTTATCGTGGTTCAATGAACCTCATGTAATAAGTTGGCCGAGTTAAGTCCAGTTTAGTGTAATATAATGCCTGAGATAGTTTAACATGACCAGTGAAGTCAGTGACTTGTTTTTTCAGCTGGGTGACTCACAATCCTGATTACTTTTTCTTCACCAGGTTAAATTCAATTCGATATGGATGACTCTGGATGTCAGGAACTGTACTTTAGTCATATTGGAATTTATTTGATCATAACTTTTTTATTTTATTTTTGCCTTTAGGGTCTAGTTGAATTTTCCTCTGTTTATGTCTCATAAACTGTATAGCTTGGATGTTTGCAACTTTTCATATTGTATATTATATTGATCTTTTATCATTAGGTGGGAAATTCATTCCACATACCACACTTACCTGTCTACCTGGTTGAAGTTATAGTAGAAAAAGAGTGCTCCGTCATCTGTTTAAAATACTGAAGTTCACTTATGAAATGGTTATAATTTCCCTGTAGATGATTGCAAATATTAATCAGGAAAACTATCCAAGAAGCTTTTGACACTAAAAAAACAAGGTCCATTTTGTTGTAGATGCACTAAATCAGTGGTGCTCATGTCCAGTCCTCAAGAGCTACCATCCTGTAACTTTTAGATGCATCTCTTTTCTAGCACCCCTGAATCTAAAGCCTCAATTCTCTCATTTACCTCAGCAGCATGGCATGGTAATGCAAGGCATGGTAATGAGCCACTCATTTTATTCAGTTGTATTAAAAATGGTTGCATCAAAAAAGTTGCAGGATAGTAGCTCTGAGACCGAACTTGAGCACCTCTGCACTAAATGCTTGTTAATTCAAACATTTTAGTATATATACGAATCTGATGTTGGCATAAACATCCGATTCATAACCTTGCATTGATAAATCTCAGGATATATCCTGAGCTATACTTTCAAATGATATTCTTGCGTTTTGATTCCAACACCATTCATTTTGTCTACTGTATACCCATAGATAGCGGGTCAATACTTATATGGACACGATGAAGTAATGCAGAGACAATTATGAAAAGCATCCTTATTACATTTTAATGTTGCGAGATCCCTTTTTGCCCATAAATGCTATTCAGTTATTATCTTTGCTATACTATTTAAAAAATATATTTTTTATAACCTTAGTTGAAATATTTTTTGTTTTGTTTAGTGTTAATTGCTGTTTTCACTTTAGAACGGGTTTTTATCACTTTGGGAAAACAGGTCTGTAGCTCTCAGCTCTGTAAGCCCTTGTTTTTCCTTTGGTTGCATTTACAAAAGACTGAGCAAATGAGACGGCAGGGTAGAGGCCCTTTTTCGAGCAGCCTCATGCATTATTTTCATCTCAGGCAGTCGTGATCCAAAAAGCCAGGTTGATCCTGCAGGCCAGATCTTGAAGAGCTCTTTGATTATAACCTGTTTTTGCCATTGCTAGTTGGACTGCATTTCATCTGTTAATTAGTCACATAAATGATTCTAGACAAACTGAGTTGGATGTAATGGCTCCTAATGTTCTCATCCCTTCGATGTTTCAGTTTGTTTTGCAATCACGAGTGTATTTGGTCAACGTTTTATTGATAATCAGCAGCAGAAAATAGCTTACTGGTTAAACTATAGGCTGACGTAAGCAAATTGGTGTCGTTTACTTGCACCACCCCTTTTGATAAGCTGTGCACAATAACAAGAACACAAAGTAAAGATTGTAATGTACATGTGACAGAAACGCGTAGCAGCAACAAGCCCCCCCACCCCCCCAGCTCTCACTCTTATCAGGAGAAAACATTGCTTAGACATGCAAAGGAAATGGCTTCACCTTATCAGCCATACACTGCCACTGTAAAGATCTGATCCAATTGGCTCACATTTTCGTACCCTGGCAGCCCACTGGATCAGTACAAGTGCACATTCTGAAAGGAAAATCCCAGAAAGATGGCAGTGTTTACGATAGTCTTGCACAATCGTCACCAGCTCCAGATAACATATCTGTATTTACCCTAGGGGCGATCATTCAAAGGTGAGTAGGTTGGTCCTATTGAATATTGGATTCAGGATGGCAGTTTTAAACTATCTTAGGAATCCAAAGGCAAAGGTTCTTGGACTTAGGAGAGTATCCTAAGGTCTGTAAAAGTTAGCCTTTACTTCACTTATTGAGATGAAGAGACAGAGATCCTGTACAAACTGGGAGCTCATGGAGAGCAACACCGAGGACAACACAGACAACAGTGAACCTGATGAGCCGACCTCTCTGAGGCGGACTTGGTCCCTGGTGAGTCTGACTTGGTTTTCAAATTGGTCACATAATAAAATAGATGGCTGGAGACCCTAACATTGTTTAGTTTGCCTGCTTACCTGACTGACTTTTTAAAATTGTAATTCTAATGTTGCAATGCCAACCCACAGCTAACTGGACTCGGTTTTGTTAAAATAGGCTGAGTTTGCAAGATGTGCATCACCTGATCTAGTGTGTTTTAGCTTAGTTCAGAGGAATCATGGAACTCACTCTTTGAAACTTGAAGACTGATTCTGTTTAGGTTGTTTTTTCAAGTAATTTTAGGTTGACGTGGAACAGTCAATTATTTACACTTGGTCTTTATTTCTGTTTGTCTGTTGCCCTCAGAGGAGCAGATATTTGCATTTGCAATTAACATATTTTTTATTCATCTTTAACTGGGATTGAAACATTCGGATTAATCGTGATTAATTGATTATTGAAATAATCATCAACTAGTTTAGTAATTAATCGTGAAATGAAGAATAAAGACTAAAATGTGCCTCTAGCTGACAGAGCAACCCACTTGGATCAGTAATTGTATCAAAATTGTAAAAAAAAAAAATATATATATATATATATATATATATATATATATATATATATATATATATATATATACTAGGGGTGGAACGGTTCACAAAATCCACGGTTCGGT